CAGGGTCAACTTTTTTACACAGGGAGTGGTCCATGTGTGGAATGAACTGCGAGAGGACGTGGATTTAGGTACAGTTACGAGGTTTAAACGACATTTGGGTGAGTACATGAATAGGAAAGGTTTGGAGGGATACGGGCCAAACACAGGCCAGTAGGACCAGTTTTGTTTGGGAACATGGTCAGTGTGGATTAGTTGGACTGAAGAATATGTTTCCATGCTGTGTGACTCTAAGTGACTGTAATAGATCTCATTCAAGGAATCATACAATCACACAACACAGAAGAGATTATTCAGCCCATCTAAACCTCTGTATCCCTTTGAAAGTTCTCTCCAGTTAATCCTTCTGTTCTACTCTTTCCCGACAGTACTTCAACTTCTTTCTCCTCATGTACTTATCCAGTTCCCTTTGAAAGTTTCTATTGAATCTGGATCCACTGACCCATCAGGAAGCACATTCCAGATCACAGCTCCCCACATAAAACTGATCTCCTTATCTTCCTTCAGGATCCTTCATCAATGATCCAAAGTCTGTGTGCATTGGTTAACAAAGCTACTAGCTTCTCTTTATTCTGTGAAAACCCCTCATCATTTTAGGCAAAAAAATTATTAAATCTTTCTTCAACCCTCTTTGCTTCAGGGAGAATGGTCCTATCTTTCTTGAATCTGTGCATATCTAAAATCACACAAGACTATTTCTTCAGAAAAAATAGAATGACTTACTCTTCAACTGTCAGGAAGACACAGATAACTGTTCATTATCTCAATGTCGCTTTGTGCAAACTTGTCACATTCTGAAAGCCGGCTACGTTTTCTTATATAACAGTGATTACTTGTTGTCTATAAAGCAATTTCAGTATATTCTGAGGATGCAGAAAAGGTTATCTGGGTAAGTTCTTTGTATTTTTTGTTCTCCTTGCTTTCTTCCTCTCTGTTTCTATGATCCTGAATTGGATGATTTCACAATCTCAGTCCCAACAACAAAGAATGCATTTGTGAGTTTAGCAACAAATCCTATTGCCAATTCTTGTGTCCTACCGACACATTTTTTTGCCTGCTTCCAATGCACTTTGTTTACCCTTGTCCAGGCACCATTCATGCCACACAAGTTCCAGGCAATGACCATCTCAGATAAGGGAGAATCCAACCATCGACCCTTTATATTCAATGGCATTACCATTGCTATATCTCCCACCACCTACACCCTGCAGAGGGCTACCATTGACTACAAACTGAACTGGATTAGTAATATAAATACAGTGGCTACATGGAGAGGGTCAAGGACTTGGAATTCAGCAGTGAGTATCTCATCTCTTTGCTCCTCAAAGCCTGTCCACTATCTACAAGGCACAAGTCAGGAGTGTGATGGAATATTCCCTGCTTGCCCAGATGAGTGCAGCTCCAACAACTCCCTTAGAAGCTTGAGACCATCCAGGGGAAAACATTCTGTTAGAATGATACCCCATCTAATACTTTCACATTTGTTTGAAAAATTTGTTCTAGATCAAAGAATCCCTCCAGTGTGGAAACAGGCCCTTCGACCTAACGAGTCCACATTGACCCTCAGAGCACCCACCCAGACCCCTCCCTTTATAACCCATCTAATCTACACATCCCTGAACACTACAGGCAATATAGCATTGCCAATCCACCTAGCCTGCACATCTTTAGACTGTGGGAGGAAACCGGAGCACCTGGTGGAAATCCACGCAGACACGGGGAGAATGTGCAAACTCCACACAGACAGTTGCCCGAGGGTGGGATCGAACCGAGGTCCCTGGCGCTGTGAGGCAGTGCTAACCACTGAGCAACTGTGCCGCCAGATATGGCTAATCTGATTTTAAATTCAACTCTACATTCCTCCCTGATAATCTTTCATCCCCTGGTAATGAAGAATCTTTCTACCTCTGCCTTAGAAACAGTGCTAACCACTGTGCCACTGTGCCACCCCGTTCTGAAGAAGTCTTACAAGACTCTTCAAGTTGAAGGACAGCTCCATCAAAATAACTATTGGCCTGCTTCTCTTTGTGTAGCAATATTGTGAACATTGGTAATTTTCACACAGAGATCAGAGGCATTTGACAATGGTACCCCCTGCCCTGTTAACTCTGCCTGTTGAGTTTCTCTGGCACTCTCTGTGCATGTTTTAGTTTTCCAGCATCACAGTATTTTGCTTTTATATTTTTGACCAACCTGTTCAGAGATGTTATGACACACCTCTGGATCAGGTGGCACTTCAGCCTGGGTCTCCTGGCTCAGAGGCAGGGACACTACCACTGCACCACAAGATTCTAGAAAGTAGAAAGCAAGCTGTGGCTTTGAAGGTTCAGGCTGTTCTTCCTTTCCATCCTTCCCTCTGAACTTAGGTGCACATGGTATATTAAGGAAAGATAAAATCTCCTTCCACTTACTCCTGGGTTGTAAGGAATTGAGTTGGATATTGCCACAGAATTCAAAAGAGCAGGTTTGGTCTCTCAAGATGTGGGAGTGAAGAATATCCTGGATTGTACTTTATTCCTTTTAAGGCCATCAGTGTATTCGGAACTTTCCCTTAGGAGATGAAATGCTTTGAGAGGAACCCTCAACTAGATAGGTCCCAGCTATGGTATGTAGCCACTGTGAGTTTCAAATAACTCATGGCATTCTCTTACTTTGATTTTTAATGATCCTATGAAAGGAGGAAATGTTAGAAACAGTTAGCCTGGAACATCATATTGTAGCTGAGAGACATATTACAACTTGAGAAAAAAAAATTAAAGTCTTGCATTTATGTAGTACCTTTTGCCAGTTTAGGATGTCCCACAGTGCTTTGGAACTGATGAAGTAGAGCCAAAAGGAAAGCTGAAAATTGGCTTCACAAGCATTGACAATACTTCAAATGCTCCAAAGGAAGTTCCAGAACCAAATTCCGAAACAACACTCTAGGCCAGGCCACAAAAGAGCAGGGGGAGCAAATGCTTCAGCTCTCTGTGTGAAAATTACCAACGTTCACAACACTAGTGCACACAAGAAAATCGGCGAATAATTATTTTGATGGAGCTGTCCTTCAAATTGAAGGATAGTGATGATGTTTATGCCATGCATTAATGTAATCAAGAGCAGTAGGTGTACTCTGAGGAAGATTTTCAAATAAAATGTCTATTATTTTTTCCTTCTCAAAGAACTGTGTTGGTAGGAGCTTGTCAGCAATCCCCCCAAGGCAATTAGTGATCATCCTTTACAGCAGGAATTTCAGTAGATGTAATGACATGAACAGTATAAATTAACGCACAAGATTCTGTACAATTCTATCTCCAGGCCTTAATTCCTCTCTCCTCTTCCTCCCTATTGATTGATGTTCCAGTAGCTGCTACCACCTAGAGAAGTTGAGGCAAGTAACTTGGATGTAGCTAAGAGGAAGCTAGATAAACACATGTGGGAGAAAGGAATGAAAAGGTATGATAGTAGAGTCAGTGTTGATGGATTAATAGTCTAGTGAACTGGACTAACGATCCAGAAACATGTGTTCAAAAGCCACTATGGCAGTTGCAAAATATAAATTCAATTCAATTCAGAGAATTAAAAATAAATTGTTATAAATAAAAAATATCTGGAGCGGAATCTTCTGAACTGGCTAGGGCCTCACCTATGATTTGGAGATCTAGCAAGACACTTACGCTGCCACTTTTCAATAATTGCCACCATACCACAAGCCAGTCAGGCACTGACAAGGCTACTGCCTGGTCTTTCTTTGGAATCAAGGCCCTGGGGCAGAGGCTTCACTTACACAGAAGAGAAGGTCATGAGTTCAAGTCCCAGTCAAAAACCTAAACACAAAATCCAGGCTGACACTCCAGTGCAGTATTGTTCTGATCAATAGTAATCAGGTTGCTTGATTTCTGGTGAGCAAAATCTAATTAAAGGATGAATTGGAGGAAGTCAGTGCACACCACCGTGAGCATACCATTTACAAGGCTAGTGGGATGGTGGATGTGAAGAACAGACTGCCAACCAATGCCATCAACAGAGGAGCTATGGTAAGTTATAAAGGTATTGGAGAATGGGGAATGCTGTACCGACAGAAGCACTATCTTTCAGATGGGCTTTAAACTAAACCCAGTCTGTCCATCTCAAGTGACAAGTCAGCAATTGTTGAACTGTTTAAGACTTTTCGAGATGCCATTTCAAGACTCTGAGACAACACCGGGGAAAGAGTTATTAGCCAAAGAGAGCACAAGGTAAAAGGCTTTCAGAAATGAACAACAGTTCTGTTCAAAGAGTTGAGGTAATCTGCAAGTGCTGTAACCACAGAACTAGTGAGGAAATTTCTGAAGAAAGGCCCGACCTGAAACATCAGCTTTCCTGTTCCTCTGATGCTGCCTGGCCTGCTGTGTTCCTCCAGCTCCACACTGTGTTATCTCTGACTCCAGCATCTGCAGTTCTTATTATCTCTGAGGAAGATTTTTTTTTTCCCTTTTACTCTGCCAAAGTCTGCTGTACCACTGAGTCCATCCATACAGACAACTTCCAATTATTCAACTATAGAAATCATTGCCATTGATGAATTCTGACCCTCAGGTTTTCAATACCTTCACTTCAGAAAGAGAAACATTCAAAGCAAGTAACAGGCCTATAACAATAACAGACTGATCATCTATGCATCTTTATAAGTATCTTTCATCCATATCTACTTTTAAATCTATGTATCTGTCTGTTATATAATTAATGTATTTCTTTCTTAACTTAATAACTATTTGCAATAATTATGTGATAAGCTAACCTTTGATATGTTTTAAAACCAATGCTTTTTAGTCTCAATGAGCTGAACGAATTTGCAGTCCATGCATCAGATTGCTGACAGGGCTAATATGATTGTGACAGTCATCAACCCAAAACATTAACTCTGTAAAGGCTGCTTGATTTGCCCAGTGCTTCCAATGTTTTCTGTCTTACCTCCTTCCGAACTACCTATTGATCCCACATTAGGAATAGGTCCCCTATCTCTGCTGAAAGTAATCAGCAGTGTGCTTTGGCTTCTCTTCAGATCATATAAATCTTTCACCTTTTCCTAAAGATTTCCATGGAGAGTAGCACTCAGAGTTTTAAACAATTTTCCTTTTCTATATGCACTTCCAATACCTTCAAAAGTCACCCCCGACCCTTAATTGATTGTATTGTCTGTTCTACAAACCCACTGTCCCATTAGCCTTGTAAATGGTGTGCTCATGGCCACAGTTCTGTAGTCAATAATCTTGGCTGTTCTGAACTCCTCCAATTCATCCTTTAACTAGATTTTACTCGCCAGAAATCCCAACAACCTGGTTAATATTGATCTCAACAAACTAAATTAGATTAACAGCATGGCACCAAATATTCAATCAACATAAAGTATTTGTTCAAAAACATTTTTTAATGAGGGGGAGTATCTCATTAGAATTACTGCGCTTTGTATCTGATCGGCTAATCCCCTATGCTGTGCTGAGAATATATTTCTAATGGGCCAGTTCCAATGCATAGATCTTCCCTGGTTTTGTGCTGTGAATGAGTGCATAGCTTTTCATGGCATCTGTAAAGATACAGTGAGTTTGCAATCACATCAAGTTTGCAATGTTTCATTGCATTGTTAACAATCATTAATGCTGTTAATGCCACTTCCCATACTGCAGCCAAGTCCCTTGCTTCTAGCATCTGAGTCATAAATATGTGGCTTTGGCCAGAAATAATCCTAGATCTTGGCAAAAGAATTCAGAAAACTTGTACACAACCCAGTTCAAGCGAGGAAAGAAAGTATTTTCTTTACATGGTTAGCGCTAACCTTATTTGTGCAAAGCTGGTGTTCACAGAGAATCACATTGTGAAGAAAGGGACTAATCTGTCTTGACTGTTAATCACACTCCCTGCTCGTTTCCAAGTCCTGCATTGTTTTATTTTTCTCATTTACGAACTTGAAAATTCTGATTGAATCTGTTTAAAGGCATTACATTCCTGACTGTAACAAAGTGCTGTGTTTAAAAGAAGATATTCCGCTCACCTTCCCTCCTGCCTTTGTGGTTGCTTTTAATCTGCACTGTCTGGTTACCGACTGGTCTGCCTACGGAAACAGTTTCTCCCTATCCATTCTATCAAAACATCTCATATTGTAGAGCACCACATCAATCTAGGAATGTCGCTTTGGTGAATATGATATTGGCAGCAACGTGTTGTCTTCATACCTCGATGGAAACAATTGACAGCAAAAGAATGCAGATCGAAAAGTTATCTATCTCAGGTTGTAGCTCAGTAGCGTTGTTTGTCTGAGGCGGTCAAAACATCTGTTGCATTTGCAGCAGCCTCCAGGCATCTATCCCTTGGCCCTGTGGTCTGCATTTGCAATTCATTTTTCAAGGCTGAACCAACAGCTGCCAGTGAAACTTACTGTGCCTGAGCTTGGTCCCTGGTGTTGCCATTCTATTTGGCTGGGGGTCAAGCTTCGAGAGTCCAACATCTGCCCAAGAAGCCTGAAGCATTGGCCAGGAGTCAAGCTTGAAGCAATCATCCTGCTATTCTTCGTGTGCCATCCCTCATCTCTGAAGATTTGCAAATATTAATACCAGCCTTGGGTTGGTAGGAGTGCAGGGAAGCGTGTGGCCTTAGAAAGGATGAACACGTTATTTGGGAAGTTATGCAAAAGTTTAGAAATCCACTTAATTTGTCCAGTGTTAATTGGAAAGGCAGAGTTTAGTAACGGACTGTATTGTAGATCAGAGACTTCATAGTATCCTGCAAGGAGAAATAAATTTCTTGCTGCCCTCATTTGCTGAGAAACTGATTAAAGCCCTTGCTGACACTAGCCTATTGACTTCCAATATCAATGCAGCACATTCTATCATGAGAGTTTTACTTCTTTTCGAAGTGGCGAGCGTTTGTCTAAAATATTTTTTGCAGCATTTTGCCCTCACCTACTCATTCCACTCATTCTGAGATTCTGCCTCTTCGGTAACAGCACTTACCCATGTTGTCAATCTTCATGTGGCAGGCTTTTCGACAGTAAGTGTCGCTTTGTAACTCAAATGCTGGAAGATTAAAGCCGACTATACTTGGCTAATGTTCATATCTCTTTTTCCTGGCAGAAACCATAGGATTTGATGCCAATGTCGGGGGCACTGATGTAGTGCTAATATCACTGGACTCACAACCCAGTGTAATGTTTTCAGGACAAAAGTTCAAATCCAACCATAGCATATAGTGAAATTTGATTTCAATAAAACCTGGAATGTAGAAACATAGAAAATAGGAGCAGGAGTAGGCCATTCAGCCCTTCAAGCCTGCACCACCATTCAATATGATCATGGCTGATCATGCAATCTCAGTATCCCATTCCCACTTCCTCTCCATACCCCTTGATCCCTTTAGCCACAAAGGCCACATCCAGCTCCCTCTTGAATATATCCAATGAACTGGCCCCAACAGCTTCCTGTGGGAGACAATTCCACTGGTTCACAGCTCTCTGAGTGAAGAAATTCTTCCTCATCTCAGTCCTGAATGGCTTACCCGTTATTCTTAGACTGTGACCCCTAGTTCTGGACTTCCCCAGCATTGGGAACATTCTCACCACATCTAGCCTGTCCAGTCCCATCAGGATTTTATATGTTTCAATAAGATCCTCCCTCATTCTACTGGAATAATGATGACCATGTCCTTCATTATAAAAACCCGTCTGGTTCACTAATGTCCTTTAGGGGAGGAAATCAGCCACCCATACAAGGTCTTATATGTGACTCATAAACCCATAGCAAAGTAGTTAACTCTGAACTGTCCTCTGAGCAATATGGGATGGGTAATAAATCATGGCCTAGCCAACAATACTGATATCCAGTGAATAATTTTTTTAAAAAATCAATAACTGGAATCCTGATTGTTCCTCTCCTTCATTCAAAATGTAATGTTTTAAATGAGTCTCAGGCTGATATTAGTTGGTGAGACCTCTTCTGGAGTACAGTGTCCAGCTCTGGTTGCCATGTTATAGGAAGGATATTATTAACCTGGAGAGGGTTCAGAAGAGATTTACCAGGATGTAGCTGGGTATGGAAGGTTTGAGCTATAAAGAAAGGCTGGATAGGCTGCAACTTTTTTTCACTGGAGTATAGGACATTGACAGATAACTTTATAGCGGTCTATAAAATCATGAGGGGTATAGATAGAATTAACGGTAGGTGTCTTTTCCCTCAGATGGAGAATTTCAAGATTGGGGGTTATATTTTTAAGGTGAAAGGAAAGAGACTTAAAAAATACATAAACAGCTTTTTTGTTGACAGAAGATGTTTCACAATGGAATGAAATTACCGGGGAAGTGGTGGATGCGGGCACAGTTACAATGTTTAAAAGACGCTTGAATAAGTATATGAATAGGAAAGGTTTAGAGGGATATGAGCCAGGAGCAGGCAAGTGGAACCAGTTTAGTTTCGGATTCTGTTTGGCATGAACTGGTTGGACCCAAGGGTCTGTTTCTGTGTTGTATCACTTGCGATCTTCTAGTCAGTAATACATGACATGTGTGTGGCACTCTGCTACACCATATATTTGCCCATTAAGTCCCAGGACTTAGATATCAAACCTAGTTTTATATTCTATGACAACATCAATTGAAAATAAAAACTGCTGGCAAGAGTAATAAATAAATTGTTCATTTTGGAGAGCCAGTACAAACACAATGGGCCAAATGGCCTCCTTCTGCACTGTCATAATTCTGTGACCATTCTCACTCATCTCTACTGCATCCTCTCCAGTCAATGTGACATGGTCTCAAGGATGGAGTCGAAATGTGAGGGCGTATTGCAGCTGATATAAGTTTTCCGAATGCATTCAAATGTGCAGCTAATCAAAACTGCAGTCAACTCAATCCTATGACTTTAGGAAATGAACCTAAGATCACAAGGAGAAGCCTGTGTGCACCTGTGCACTAGTGTGTAGCAGATGCAGCCGAGTCCTGAAAGTATTCCTGCTTGAACCATACCCTGCAACTGTGGTGGCTTAAATACTGACGAAATACAGGATCAGTGATAAGAAGAGCACATTAGCTGCAGGGATATCGGGTGGGCGAGACTTAGCATTCTCACATCCAATTCTGGCTTAGGGTTCAATGCATTTGCAATGTTTTAGATTGGGATAAGCCATGCATCTAAATCCTTGCTGGTCCGCTCAACCTCAGAGCTGTGTGATGTGTTTTGTCAGTTATCGGCCAAACTGCTTGAGGGGATAGCTCATGGAAGTGAAGCATAGCCCTACAGAGGATTGTAACATCAGGAACAAACATTCAGTGCCAAGAACATTAGATTCTTGCATCATTTCTGAGTGAAGTTTCTTCTTTTGCTCGTCTATGTTTGAGGATTATTTCCGAATGTCTTTTTTTGTCTGGCTTGAATAATGTTTACTGCTTGTGCGTTGCAAAGCAGAGAGAAAGAGACACAAAGTGTTAACTCCTTTAATTGCATAAATCCACCACATTCCTACACTGGAGAAACAGAACAGTTGTGGGTGCTATCCTGTATGTTTGAACGGAAGAATAAAATTGGGAATAGCTTTCAGGTCAGGTTTGCTATTTGCACATTGTAGCCAATGGAGTTCTGTCGCTGTTGTAACCTTACAGTGACCAATTTCTTCACAGGCAGATCCCACAACAGCAATGCTCATTGTTGTGCTAGGTCTCACAGTTAGTATGCACGCAATGTTTCAGAGACATGGTTGTGATATCATCACTGTATGTGACTGGAGAGTGTAAGAGTTTCGCACTCCATCTTAACTGGGGCCACTTGAAGCATGACATGCTGCTGGAAGTGTGCCACACTTTGTAACTGAATAGCTGACTGGAATAATTGTAAATGTGACTGTAATATTTAGATAAATCAGAGGCTGTAATCAACATCTGCTGAATCTTTCAAGACCACTCTAGTCACATCTAATTCTTACGTTGCAGGAACGAACCAGTTAAAAGAGGTACAAATACCTTGCTGGAGGCAATGGTGGCAAGTCAATTATCCATTTCAGTGTTTGAATAATTAGTACTGGCCATTTTCCCTGGAGCATCAGAAATTGAGGGCTGATTTCATAGAGGTTTATCAAAACATGAGGGGCGTGAGTAGGGTGAATAGATAAGGTCTTT